ATAAAATTAATTGCCCAAATATAAATCAAAAAAAGTTTATTTTACTTTATTCGGAGCTTTACATGATAAAAATGGAAAAAAAAAATTTTTCATCCATCGACAATATCATGTTTTTGATGATTTTTGTTATCATAACATGAATAGAAACACAATCCATAATCGAACAAGATGTACTGTGTGTGTGTGTATGTGTTCCATTCATTCATTTTATAATGGTACAACAAGGGAGAAAAAAGCAATTTTGAAAATTAATTTTTTTTGCTTCTCAAAATTTCATTTTTCATTCAACATTTACACTCAAACACAAACAATGGGAACACGCCGATAGAGGTTAGATATTGATCAAAACGACGAAAGTAACGGTAAATAAAATTAGTTTTCATTCAACACACACACACACACACATACACACACAAGGTGTAATGTGATTGATATCATCATCGATATTTTTTTGGGTTATTGAATTGTTGACAATGATGTCATCAACAATATTTTGATTTATTTTATTTTTTTTTGGCAAAAATGAAATTTTCAATCTATTATCGAGTAGTTGTTAAAATTGAAATTGAAATTATCATTAATGTTCAATATCAATATCGATTGATATTGAAGTAACCATATATATAATAACTATCTACTAATCGCAAAAGATCTCTCTTTATATATATTTATTTATCAAGATAAAACAATTAATCAAATGGACATTGAAGACATCATAGTCTGGCGGTTTTTTATTCTCTCTCCAGCTATCGGGTTTTACTATCCGATTTTCGTCACACATAAAAGTAAATGGAATATATATTCAATAGTAACTTGACCAACTGTATATCTTATTGGCTTTCAACTTAATAAATAAATATAACAAGTTTGTTCATCATATATATCAATTCAATTGAAGCCAAGTATTTAGTGAGACTGAGATTTCCTTTTTTTTTCTTTTTCGAATAAAGCTAAAACAAACGGAAAAAAAAGACAAATCAGATAGATCAACAAACACTGGATGATGATGATGAAGACAACGTTGATTAACATTGCAAATATACAGCTTACAATGATGATGATGGTGAGAGTATATACCAGCGATAGACCAAATAGTATTAACAACCAGCCAACCAACCAACTAACCAACAAGATTGATGATTTGTCATTCGGATTGATGATGGTTGAGTATGTAGGATGAATGGTATAACTACGATACCAGATAATAATAATAATAATAAAATAAAAAAAATACCAACAAGAACTAGAGAGGGAGAGAGAGCTCTTGGAGATGTTTCTGGAGCAATACCAGAAAAAAATACAAACTTTTTTTTTGGGACTCTAGAGTCTAGAGCGAGAAACAGATGTTTTTTCTCTCTCTCTTCTCTGTTCATTGTTGCCTGTATTTGATAAAAAACAACAACAAAAGATTGTGTGTGTGTGTGTGTGGCTATACTGTTTTTTTTTTGAATCTGTATGAAAATGCTGATTAATCGGTCTTTGGTTACAATCTCACACTCACTTTTTATCTATATCTACAAACAAACAGAGAGAGAGAGAGAGAGAAAATAATTTCAATCACAATCGACAAAATCTTTTTCTATATTGATGATGATCAACAACAATTTGTCGATGAGATGAGATTTCATCCATTGCAATCATTTCATTTATAATAATAATGAAAAGCGTTCCAAGCAAATGATTGGGAATAAAAAATTAACGGCTTTATTGCTTTGCTACTGTTTCCAGAAAAAAAACTGGCCAGTCACTTATACACAATAATAATAATAATAATAACGACTATGGCACGTGCTATGAAAACAAATTGGTAGATACACAAATGAAATGTGGGCCTAGAATTATAAAAAAAAAATTTGTAATTGAACATTAACACCATCATATGATATGTGATTGCGTGATCCAAGATCTCCAGTAGGATTATTGATCCAAAATGAAATTATGCTAGAGCAAAGAAAAAAAAAAAATTGCTGATAATGATAATCATTTTTTTTTTTTACTCACTCATCACACATACAAATGCTATCATTACATTTATTATGGTGACAATTGGAATTTTTTTTTTTTTTGAAATGAAATCATCATCATCATCATCATCATCATCATCGCCATTGATTTGTGCTTGTCATCAATTATAATGGTACAATTAAATCTAAAAACATAAAAATATGGCATTTTTTTGCCAATATTTGATCTAATCAAATGGCACAAAAAAGATCTGACTTGACAGGCACACTTGACTTATCAAACAATGAATGATTAACTGACTGACTGACCTCACCTATGATCCGGTCGAAAAAAAATGACAATCAGTGTATGTTATTCATTGAAAATTCATTTGAATTTTATATACACAAACAAACCATCATCATTTAGATGGTTTCATATTTGCCTAAATGATTATAGGCTTTTAAAAGTTTTTTTTTTGGTTGTTCAATCAAAAATGATTCAATAATCATATGTCTATCATATTCAAAAAAAAAAAAATCGATCTATCAATCAATTGATTTTCATTTATTTATTTCAATGCATGGCAATTGCAAATTAAATAATTGTATATTTATTTGGTCATCATATAATCAACCTTATTGAAAATGGGCAATTTTTATCTATATTTATCATTCGTGTGGTCAACGGCAAGAAAAAAAAAAGAAAAAAATCCAAAATACAAACAAAACAACCAAACCAAACAAATGGATCTAAAACTAATCATTGAAAAAAAAATATAATGGAAGGAATATGAAGAGAAAAAAAAATTCGATTTGTTGATTAAATCGAGCAGAAGAATAAGGAAACTGTACGTTTTATTTTTTTCGTTTGGTTTGGTTCATGATCAAAGCATCCCAATGTTGATGATGATGATGATGAACTATAAGCTAAATGGCAAACAGGATGATGATGATGATGATTGCTATAGTCGATCGGATTGAATCCGATCAGATCAGATTGGATCTGATCTGATTTTCTTTAGAAATTTTTTCTATTGTCGTCGTCGTCGTCATCATCGTCGTTCATTAAATTCGATTTGGTCATTTGGTTAATAAGTTAAGAACATAAATAAACTGTGTGACCATTTCATTTCATCATCATCATCATCATCTTCATTATATAACGTTTGTTTTTCTCCACTTTTTTTGCCACCAAAATCCATTGTATTTTTTTTATCCATCTAACAATTGTGAGGTTTGCCTCGACAAAAAACAGCAAATCTATTTTTTTCTGTGTTTCAAATTGGAAACCAAAAAAAAAAAAAAAAAAATCAGTCTCGTATCGAATCTTTTTGTTTTGAAGAAATCAAGTTAAACATCAGTAGCTAAAATGATAGCAATGGTTGTTGGAAAACAAAATTAATTGAAATAAACCGGGATGAGAAAATTTTTTTTCCCCTGTTTTTTTGAAATTCACAAGCGGCAGCTGTTTTAGGTTCCTGTTTTGATTGAACTGATCTGAGCCATTGTTTTCTCATCGTTTCAATGTGTCATTATATATCAATAGCTACTTTGTGTGTGTGTGTGTATGTAATCCAATTATTTTCCTATGGTCAAATTGTATTTCAATTTTCATGATTATAAACATTTGCGTGATGGCTAACATTGATGATGATGATGATGATAATAATAAGAAGAAGAAGACAGGGACATTCAAGAAATTGCTCTTTTTTTGTATACACACAATGAGAATGATTCGATTTCGGTCAATGTTTTTTTTTTTGTTTTAAACAAAAAAAAAAAAAAAACGATCATGAAAATGATGAGACAAACTCATCAAAGTCTCGAGAAAATTTTTTTTTTCACAAAAAAAAATTTGATTCGTGAACAAACTGTAAAAAACTTTTTTTTTATTCGATTACCAAAATAAAAAAAAATGCAAGCATTAAGACATCAGATTAAATTCAAAGCAAATCGATTCGCCAAAAAAAATTTAAAAAAAATCATCATCATTGTCATGAATGTCGTGATGTGAACCGACGAAAAAATAAAAAATTATAAAACAATCACAATGGCTATAAAATGACAAATGGAAAATTCGTAAATTGAATTGTTGAAATGCTTCTGGTTTTTTTTTGTTATCCAGGTGTATCATCACATTTGATACGCCCAATTTTATTATATATAATGATAACTATTCATGATACATTCATGAGCCAGATTCAACAAACCGGATATCAATCATTCAGATAATCACATAGAAATGTATAGAGTGTTTATTTGTCTTTCAATTTGTCATCATCAACATCATATAACGACCTGTGAATACCTGTGTATGTGTGTGTGTGTGTGTGATCCCGGAGTTTATTTATATTCGAATGTGAAACCGGCAATTTTCTGGTGAAAAAAAACTAAAACATTTCATTATAATTTCATTCGTTATCATTCATCATCATCACGCATACATTGGGATTACACATACATGAAATTTGCACGAAACAAATGAGCTTGATTACTAGTTTTCATATCTACATTATTATATAATGTCTCGATATGATTGAATGAGAATTGAGTGATTCTCTTGAGAAATCATTTTTTTTAGTTGTTCCATACAACCAATGAATCTATGTGAGGGTAATTAAAAAAAAAATATAAATGAGATATTGATGATGAGAGACAGAAAGGTAGACAATGTTCGTGCCAGGATTCCATCATCATCATCATCAGTGTGTGTAATAGACAAATGACAATTTTACAATATTAAATTGACACACACGGATGGATGAGCCATGTGTTATTTCAATCCGTAAAATAATTTATGGGCGTGTGTTCAAATTTATGGCAATTTAAAGATATATATAGTCATAATAGCTGATTCACCATCATTATCAATAATTTTTCAATATTCTTTTAACAATGATATATTCAGATATGAATTAACCTCACTAATTAAGAAGAAATATAAATAATTTTACATTGTACCGGAATGGCTCAACCCAATAGATATCAATCATTTTGACAGGTTTGACATTGGACACAAATAGGAATGTTAATAAGTAGCAATTATTTTTCGGTCGTCTGAAAACGATTTAATCAATCAAAATCAACCGCACATAACAAGACATGCCAAAACGAATCGATATTCGATGATGATGATGATGATGCTTTCGGTGGGGACAATTAGAAATATACCAGTTCTGGTTATAGTTAGTGGGTAAAACAATTGGTTAACCAGAACGTTTTTTTTTTGGTCTTGATTGACATTGATTGGTTCGGTATCATAGCATTTTCGTTGATTTATTTGATTGATTGATCAGCAGATCGATTTTGGTTAATTTTGAGCTGATTATAATCGTCATGCTGTTCTACAGAGAGATTAAAAAAACAAACAACCAATCAAAAATCATGAACAATGTAACAATCGATTAACAATCGAGTTCAATAGAAATAAAAAAAAAATTTCTTTTTTTTTTGGATAAATCAACGAAAAAAACAAATTCTCGTTTCGCTTGGATTGATGTCATGATGCAATGAATAATGATTTGTCGATTAATTTGGTGAGCAATCCACCATGATGATGATAATGATGTTGTATAATTGAAATTTTGTGCAAATTATATGTCGATCTATCCTAACGACCGAACGACAGACTGATCAAACGAATGAATGAATAAACGGAGTCAGTCAGACAGCAATTTTATGGACGGACCAAACACAAAAAAAAGACAAGCCAGAAAAAAAACACGTCACGAGATTCTAACAGATGAGGAAAAAAATCCACCAGAATACCAGATGTGCAATGGTAGACAACATACTTGTAAAATTTTCACCCGAAAACATATCTTTCAAAAGCAAAATCAATTTTTTGTTGGGATTATTCAACAACAACAACAACAACAAACATGACAAATACACATCATTACATGCCAAAATTCTATTTTCACATTCACATTCATTCAAGCATGGATCGATTCATATTTTATATATGAAAAAAAATGCTGAAAAATATCCAAAATTCCAAAATTCCGGATTATTATCTTATAGAATGGTACCCGCTCTTCTGTAATAAGGGTGATGATGATGATGATTTGTCAATCATTTAGTCGATAATAATGTTTTCGATTTTTTTATTGATGAAAATGTTATAAGCCTATTATAATATTTGAATGGCAAATGTATAAGTTTTAGTTCGACGTTCACAACAACAACAACAACGTAATCCTTATGTGAATAAAATCTGGGGCAAATGAACTTGTTTTGAAGTTCACCATAATGACCAGAGGCCATTATACATTAATTCATCCAAAATACAAGAGCCAGCTGGTTGTGAAACTAAGGCCCTGTTGGCGTGTGTGTGTGTGTGTGTGTGTGTATGACTCACCTTAATTATTTCATTCAAGTGTTCAATCATCATACACGCAAACATAGACCACACCACACACAAACAGAATTAGAATGAAAGAAAAAATCATTCTATCAGGTTTTACCATAGAATCAATGTGGTGGAACACATTTCATAGAGAATGATTCAATTTAGATTTCAAAATCAATAGAATTGATTATCAGAGATCGTTGACATGAAAATGGCGTGGACCAATAAATATTTTGGACCTAATTCACAACAAAAAAAAGTATTGACTATCAATCACACTCACACACACACACACACACACACATATACATATAGAAACGGGATAAACCACTCCATTTTATATGATAAAAATCGTTATGATCATTATCTCATGATGGTGTGGTCCATACTTAAAAAAATGACTGTTTGGATGAAGAAAAAAAAATATTCGAAAGAAAGAACCGGCTACCTATTCTCTCCATTGCCCTTCACCAACCCCAACTGGAATACCAATCGACAATGATGCGTTATATAATATGTGTTGAAAAAAAAAACAAATTCAGCAACAACAACAACCAAAAATATTTAGCTGTAAGGCATATTTTGTTGTTTGGCCTATAGAGTTTATCTAGTGAGTTTTTTTTTCTTTCGTTCATTTTCATTGTCGGAATTGTTGTTATCTTGTTGTTGTTGAGGCAACATATTAAAATGCCATGTAACTATTACTACAAAAAAACCAGCAATATAGAAACAGAAAACAGAAAGATCAGATCAATAATATAAGAGAAGAGAATTATGTGGCTCATCATGGCAAAATACATAATTTGTATAAAATACATATACACATGTCATGTCAATAATGATGATGATGATGATGATGATGATGATGAGCCATTGAACTAACTTGAATAAATAATGATTGGTGTCTACGAATCATCATCATCATCAACAACAACTAATTGTACAAATAAGTACATCGGCAAAAGATATCTAAAAACAAACGACAATCAAAAAAAAAGTTGAATTTGATTTGAATTAATCTTCTAATATATTTTGATTGAATATTACCATACACAGTAGCAGTGTAAGAAAAATATGAAGATTTTGAATGTGTCACCTGTGGATAGATATCAAGATGACAACAAAATATGACACCTGGATATATAGTTATAATTATTGTTGTTGTTTTGAAGGCTAATGATGCATATTCGACAGGACATTCACAGTATCTAATCATATATCAAATTTCATAATAATAATAATAATAAAATCTCACGAATTTCCGACCATTGTTGTTGTTGTTGTTGTTGTTGTTGGTGTTTTTTTCTCGAAGAAAAAAAAATACACGAATTAAAAAACAATGAATCATAAAGTGTGTATATATGTAGTATGTACATGATTTGATAATTAATAAATTCAAGAAAAAAAAATTTCTGAAAAATCAAAAAAAAAAAAAAAGTTGAATGAATCCTTTATGTGCTTTTGTGATGCTATAATGGTATAAACACATGCATATAGGCCGGTATAACCTTCATTCATTCATTCATCTATTATTTAACAAGCAAACAACATCATGTATCATGTGCATATGCCAAAACATCAGAACAGATTGATTGACTGATCTTTTGGAAAGAATTTCATCAACAAACAACAATGAAACAATGGGCCATGTTTTTTTTTTTGTTCTTTCATATCAAATTCATAAATATTTACCGTCATCATCGATAATGGTAATTAATTAGCATTTTTTTTCAAGACTGCTCTAGTCATCTGTTTATCAAGTAAAAAAAAAGGCGGACAACAACTTTTATGCATCTAGATTGTGATTCTTAAGAATTTTATTTATTTTTTTTTTTTTAATAATAATTTTTGTTCATGATGAATCCAGGTTTAAACAAGTTCGGATATTGAATAAGTTTCAAAAGAAACTTGAGAGAGAGAGAGTTAGTCGGTGCAAAGATTTATGACCAAAATTGAATTGCGAGAGAGAGAGAGAGAGAGAAAAAGGACAGAATCAATGGATTTGACCTTTCTTTATATATATATTCCTCATAAGTCAACAGTGTAGAAAAACAAGAAAACCGACATGGATATATATACAAGTTGGTGTAATAAATTATGACGCACATACAAACATTGACAACATTGAGAAAGCAAAAAAAAAAAAAAAACAAAATGTAACCAGGATTTATTTATCGATCCAACGAACGAAACAAAACGAAAACGAAAAACATAAAAACTACACACACACACACACACAGGGTTTAAGGTTCCTAGCCTCTGGAAAAAAAACAAAATTTTTGTTTTTCAATAAAAAATAGAGTAAATGATGAGGTTCAATAGTAATTAATAAATTTCAATTAAAAACAGCAACAAAAAAACATTGTTTATTGTCCAAAAACCAAATGAACTAATTGATGATAGCCGAAATGATAAAGATCATTAATAACTGAAACACCGAGAGATGGATACCACTTGTAACTTTAGTCTATCGATTCAGGTAAAATGAAAATTTTTTTTTCAACAAAAAATAAAAATAAAAACTTGAAAAGACCGGATCATCACGATTTTTAAGATGGTTATGGTTATGATGGTAGGAGGAGAAAAAAAATTTCGAAAACAATAGAACATTGACTTTTCGTTTGTATTGTTGTTGTTATTGTCTTGATGTTTTAAAATATTAATTAATAATTGCCTCAATTAATCATTAAGTTTTTTTTTCTTTATATATACTCACGAACAGGACATACACACACACACACACACACACACTCAGAGGAATATTACACCTAACCATGGTAACACAAGATCATTAAAAAAAAAAAATTTTTTGATTGTCTGATGAAATGCAAATTTCATATATATACAGATTTTCATGAAAAGCACCCTAATCAGTCAAGAAAACAAATTGGAATCAAGAACCGAAAGAAAAACGAGAAAGAAATCAATTAAAACCATTAATCGATTAATGGATGGTAGATGAATATTCAATAGGCGATGAATTGCTACCTTTTCAGTGTAGCCAAATTAATTTCAATCAATCTAATCAATAAATTTAGTGAGTCAGACAGTTTATTTCAATTATCATTAAAGAAAAAAAATGCTAAGGTCATTTATCTCGAAATAACATCGTTCCAGCGTAGGATGTAACCATCATGCATAAAAGAATATTCTGTTTTTAACGTTAATTTTAGAAACAACAATTATCCTGAATATTAATATCTGTGCATCATTCATATGTTTTTTTTTGCCGATGTCACCACTGCGAGGGTGTTGTTGTTGTTGTTGTTGGATAAAATTACAGATTTTTTTTAATATCCTGTCGATTTGATGACTGAATGACTAAGTAAGCAAAAGAAGAAAGAATACCATTCAACTAATCTAAGATCTCTATTCTCATATCATATATGAACAGAATATTGTATTTTTATTTATAAATGAAATTCAATACCCGTTCAGTTCAAAGTGAAACAAGTGCACATTCATCATGATTTTTTTTTTTTTTTTTCTGTTTGTGGATGCAATGTTTGCACAAAATTCAATATGAATTCAACCATATATAGTCAGCCAAAACGAAAAAAAAGCGTGAGATTACACATTGTGTATTGTTTGCCATCATTATCAGCATTATCATGTAGCAAAAAGCTATCCGAAAACAATGAAAGATTTTTGGAATTCTGTACATATATCCATCTGTACTAGTTTTTTTTTCTAACAATCGATCGATCGACATGGTATATCGACACCGGATCCGATCAGTAAAGAATGTTTATGTATTCCAACATGTCAAATAAAACATTGATGACATGATAACGGATGGTATAAATGACCAAATATATATATATCGTATATGGATCGTGAAATGACCTCATTTCGTGTTTAGAATTAGATGATTTTATTTCCGGTTTTCCATAATGATTCACATATGATTCGAAATTCGAAACCAGAAAAATAGATAAATATATGCTATTATTATAGAAAAGAGCTACTGGAAGAAAAAAAAATTTCCCATAC